AAGAGGTACATGTAAATATTTGATTTCTTTGGTAGTAAAATGAAAAAGGGTTCAGATCTGTTCTGCTTTCTGAGGACCCAATTTGAAAAATTAAAAGCTTTTATCAACCAAAATGTAAGTTAGAATTATAAGTTTGAGTTCCTTCAGCTTTGACAGACTGGGATCAGCTGGTTTTCACTCTGAGCTTTAGGAGCTCATCTACAGGATGAAAACATGAAAACTAATTAAGACAGTCTGACTATAATTTATTTTTCTAATTCATCAAGTTTAAATATAATTACACTCAGAGGAATCCCCCCCCCAAAAAAAAAAATAATCCCCTAGACTTTGTTTCCAAGTTTGAAGACGTTTCTCTTCCATCCAGGAAGATTTTTAATTCAAAATGTCAGAAATAACATTTAGTTCCAACACTATTTGTTTTTTGTTTTTTTTATTTGAGATGGAAAGAATAAAATACATAAAATACAAATTTTCAAATTAAAAGATTAAGTAAAATGCTTTTTATTTTTATCATTCCACTTTTGTAGAATCATCAATACTTTTGACTGAGAGTTCATGGTGAGACAAAACGAACGGAGGTCATCAGAAGGTTGGGACCCGCTGACCTACAGTAACCAGACCTAACTGCCTGCAGAGCGCCACCTGTTGGGAAAAACAACAACTCTGAGTGTTGCTGTCTTGTAAATGTGCAGGTTTCAGTGTTGACAGACGTCTAAGTGCAGCCTGGCCTGCTCATCACGCTGTGAACAGAGTGACACTGAGTTCCAGGCACTGCATGGTGTCTCGTAAGCGTCGGAGGATCTAAAGTGAGGAAAAAACTGCTTTGTGTTGTGGGGAGTCTGATTTACGTTCCCTCTGAGGGAGCTGGGCAGGAGCTGGGCGGCCCGCGCCTGGAGACCCAGATCCATTTCTAGAAGTCAGAAAGAGGAGAAACCTTTCCAGGGAATGTCCAACACGCCTTTACATTATCATCTATAAAAAGCCAAGCCTCTCTGCGTTTCACAGGCTGCTCAGCTACATCTTAAAGGATCCTTATTAAACATTAAAGCACTGTAAAACTGTTTAGAAGGATTCCCCTACTGCACGTAAACTAACAGAGAGGTAAAGGAGGTGATGAAAAGCTAAAGAGAAACAACATGTTGAAAGAAACCTCGGCTCTGACAGACATGTGAGCTATTTGTGGAGGAGGAATGTAGGAAGGTTTTCATTTGCATGGAGATACATTAGAGGCACTGACAGGTGGATGGCTGATAGAGCAGCGACTGCTGTGACCTCCAGCTGGTCTCACTGACTGATCTAATCAAAGAAAATACTCTAAACTAAATAAAAATGGAAGGCATCTAATTAAACAGAATTTGAGAAAATTATTCAAATATTATGTTGTGGTCAGAAAAAAGCTATTTCCTTCCTCATCCCTTCCAATATTAATAATGACTTCTGGTTTGTATTTACTGGCTTTTATTATTATTGATTGAAGCAGAGTTTCTGCTGGACCACCTGCTGAACGAGGGTCTTATCTTAGGGCCACACCTCGCTGATTCATCCAGCCTGACGTCCCAGAATCCCTTAAACTCTGAAAGACGCTAAACTTTCTATAGATTTTATTTCTATTCTGGGCGAATACATAGAATATTCATAACGAGTCCAGAACTTCTGTCCAGTGTCATTCCAGGGGCATTATGAAGCATCAGTTAAAGCTGCTCACCCGCTGTAGGTACCAGAGCTGCTCGAGGCCCCGCCCCTTCTCATGACGTCATCATACGGCAACTCCACTCGGACAAACTGTATTGCACCTGTTTCTTAAGGATCAAATCTCTTTTAGAGTCTCAACATGTTATTCCCTATATTTTCTATTATTTTCCATTTCATCTGCGATCTAAAGCAGCTGAAAGTAGAAAACAATCATCGTCAGTCTGGAAGGAAAGAACTACGATCTAAGACAGACTGAGCTCTGCTACTGAACAAGGAGACACAAAAGTCTAAGCTTATTTTTATTCTTTTTATTAAGATCTGAGGGCAGAGGAGGACAAATGGAATAACTTGGAGATTTTAGCAAAGAAAACAGTTATTCTACTTGTAGAAAATGAACAGTTGTTGACATGAATTTAAAAGTAGTGTAGCTTAATATGGCTAACTGAGCGAGCTCCCGACTCGGCACACTGATGCTGTGTGATTATCGTTGTCTGGGCAACCACAATGTTTTACATCATGTGGCGACGTTCAGCCAATCAGGTAGCGTGACGTCACTGGCAGGAAGCAGGACCCCAGCAGATCCGGTACCAGGCTCGGACTGGGAACGATTTTCAGCACTGCCATTTTACCATCTACACCGGCCCACTTATAAAACCCCATCATGCACTGCAAAATATTCTTCCAAAATATTCAAACATAAATTCACCAAATATAAGAGGAACATAGTAGTTTGGTTTAAAGAAAGCATTGTGCCAACCGTCACCAGGATGTGCATGACAACGAAGGGCTATATATGCTGCACGCATCATTATTTACATAAGTAGAATAGTTTTACTTCTTTAGCTCCTTGAGTTATTTATTTTCACAGTTAGGAGCTTCAGCTGGAGAGGAAGCTTTGGGGCCGGTATGATTTAAGGAGGGCCGGCCCTCGCACGCTGACATTAGGACCGGCCCACCCAGTCTCACAGATCACCAGTCGGAACCTGTCTGGTAGCTACAGCGGTCCGCTTAAAACGATGTCTTTGATCGCGGTATTAACCTCGCTGCTGTTTACTGCCCACCAAAAAAAAAAAAAAGAATAAATGAATAAAAAGAAAG